TACCTTACTTAGGGTTCTTGATCTTGTTTCTGTAAGTTAATGGCTTTCACCAAATTTGAGAAATTTATTGCCATTATTCAAAATCTTTTGCTGTCTTGTTTCTCTTCTCTTCTGGCCTCTTCAATAACATGTATGTTAAGTTACAGAATATTGTCTCACAGACTTCTTAGGCTCTACTTATTTTTTTTAATCTTGTTTCTCTTTTGTTTTCAGACTGAATAATTTCTATTGCTCTATAGTCAAACTCGCTGACTCTTTTGTCTGCCATTAAGCCCATTCAGTGAATTTTTAATTTCAATTATTATACCTTTAAGCCCTATAGAAATACTACTCAGTTCTTTTTATTTATTTATTTTTTTGAGACAGAGTCTCACTCTATCACCCAGGTTGGAGTGCAGTGGCACAATTACAGCTTACTGCAGCCTCAACTTTCTGGGCTAAAGCAATCCTCTGACTTCAGCCTCCCAAGTAGGTGGGACACAGGTGCATGTCACCATGCTTGGCTAATCTTTGTAGTTTTTGTACATGTTGCCAGGCTAGTGTTCTTTTTTATAGTTTGTGTTTTTCTGCTTAGATTCCCAACTTTTGAATTTTGTACGCATACATTCTTTTAATTTTTTTTTTTTTTTTTTTTTTTTTTGAGACAGAGTCTCACTCTGCCGCCAGGCTGGAGTGCAGTGGTGCAGTGTTGGCTCACTGCAACCTCTGCCTCCCAGGTTCAAGTGATTCTTCTGCCTCAGCCTCCTGAGTAGCTGGGACTACAGGCACGTACCACCACACCCAGCTAATTTTTGTATTTTAGTGGAGATGGGGTTTCACCAGGATGTTGGCCAGGATGGTCTTGATCTCTTGACTTCATGATCCAGCCACCTCGGCCTCCCAAAGTGTTGGGATTACAGGCATGAGCCACCGCACCCGGCCATATTCTTTTAATTCTTTGGCCATATTTATAATGCCTGCTAAAGTTCTTGTCTGCTAATGAACCAACATTTGGGTCATCTCATAGTATTTTATTTCTTTATTTTTATTTATTTACTATTTTAATTTTTGAAGCAATAGGGTCTTGCTATGTTGCCCAGGCTGGTCTAGAACTCCTGGTCTCAAGCAATCCACCCGCCTTGGCTTCCCAAAGTGCTGGGATTATAGGTGTGAGCCACTGCAGCCAGCTGGTCTTAGAGTAGACTACTTTTTTCTCTTGAATGTGGATTATATTTTTCTGGTTTTTTTTTTTTTTTGCATATCTAGTGGGGGTTTTTGTTTTGTTTTGTTTTCAGATAGAATCTCGCTTTGTTACCCGGGCTGCTGGAGTGCAGTGGCACAATGTCAGCTCACCACAACCTCTGCCACCCGAGTTCAAGTGATTCTTCTGCCTCAGCCTCCCGAGTAGGTGGAATTGCAAGTGCCTATCACCACGCCCGGCTGATTTTTGTATTTTTAGTAGAGATGGGGTTTCACCATGTTGGTTAGGCTGGTCTCAAGCACCTGACCTCAAGTGATCCTCCTGCCTTGTCCTCCCAGAGTTCTGGGATTACAGGTGTGAGCCACCGCACCTGGCTATATCTAGCGGTTTTAAGTTTGGATGCTGGACATCACGAATTATGCATGATGCAGTGATTCATTGTAGAATCTCTGGATTCTGTTTGTTCTTCTAAAGAGCAATATCTATCTATCTATCTATCTATCTATCTATCTATCTACCTATCTAGATAAATATATATATTTTAGTCAAGGTCATCCTGCTCTGTCACCCAAGCTGGAGTGAAGTGGTGTGATCATAGCTCACTATGACCTCAAACTCTCAGGCTCAAGTGATCCTCCTGCCTCAGCCTCCCGAGTAGCTAGGACTACAGGTGTGCACCACCATGCTTGGCTAATTTTTAAACAATTATTTTAGAGATGAGGATCTTGCTGTGTTGCTCAGGCTGGTCTCAAACTCTTGGCCTTAAGTGATCCTTCCCCCTCTGCCTCCCGAATACTTGGGATTACAGGCATGAACCACCTTGCCCAGCCTAAAGAGTGATTTTTATTTGAACAATCCATTAACTTCACGTTCTAAATCTACTGTGGTCAGCAGCAATCGAAATCTTATTAGTTATTTCAGCCTCTAGTGCTTTTTTTTTTATTGGGTCCCCTGAGATCCTTTCCTCCCCATTCCACACCCCCCAGCACGTGTAGTTTATCAGTCATGCCAAACTGCACATAAAAGGATTTCACACTTTCACAATTTACGCTCTGCATCTCTGGCTTCTCTGACTGCCTCAAACTTTACCTCTAGCCAGTAAGGCTGTGGCTTTCTGCTGCCCACGCCGTGTGGATTGTGGGTGTCCTTGGACAAAAAGCTGCAAAGCTGCAGATCTCATCAAGTGCAGTTTCTTTTGTTCCCCAACACTAGCTTTTGTTTGTTTGTTTGGTTGGTTGGTTTTTTTGTTTGTTTTTGAGACAGAGTTTTACCCTTGTCACCCAGGCTGGAGTGCAATGGTGTGATCTCGGTTCACTGCAACCTCCACCTCCCAAGTTCAAGTGATTTTCCTGCCTCAGCCTCCTGAGTAGCTGGCATTACAGGCATCTGCCAGCACACCTGGCTAATTTTTGTATTTTTAGTAGAGATGGAGTTTCACCATGTTGGCCAGGCTGGTCTCGAATTCCTGATCTCAGCTGATCCACCCACCTCAGCCTCCCAAAGTGCTGAGATTACAGGCATGAGCCGCCTTGCCTGGCCTTGAGACTAGGTTTCAACCGCCCATTTCACCCTATCAGTTCTCCAAGGTAGGGACATACAGGTTGCCTTTGCTTCTCCCCCACTATAAATAATGCTGCAGTGAACATCCATCTATATGTTTTTTTATTATGATAAAATATATCACATAAAACTTACCATTTTAATTATTTTTAAGTGTCTAATTCAGTGTCATTAAGGACAGACACACATTTGTGCAGTGATCATCGCTATCTACTTCCAGAATTTTCCCATCACCCTAAACAGAAAATCTGTACCCATTAAACATGACTCTTCATTCTCCCCTCCCCTCAGCCCCTGGAAACCCCTGTTCTCCTTTCTGTCTCTAGGAATTTGACTACTCTAGGGACCTCATATAAGTGGAACATATAGTATTTGTACTTTTGCGTCTGGCTTATCTCACTTAGCATAAGGTTTTCAAGGTTCAGTCATGTTACAGCATGTATCAGAACTTCCTTCCTTTTGAAGACTGAAGAATATTCCATTATATATATTTAGGGTTTATACCATTTTGTTTATCCCTCCATCCGTTGTGAACATTTGAGTTTTCTACTTTTTAGCTATTGTGAATAATGCTGCGGTAAACACTGGTGTATGTTTTTTTCTTTTTTCTTTTTTTTTTTTTTTCCTGAGATGAAATCTCGCTCTTTCCCCCCAGGCTGGAGTGCAGTGGCGCGATCTCGGCTCACGGCAACCTCCGCCTCCCAGGTTCAAGTGATTCTCCTGCCTCAGCCTCCTGAGTACCTGGGATTACGGGCTCCCGCCACCATGCCTGGCTAGTTTTTGTATTTTTAGTAGAGATGGGGTTTCACCATGTTGGCCAGGCTGGTCTCGAACTCCTGAGGTGATCCGCCCACCTCAGCCTCCCAAAGTGCTGGGATTACAGGGATGAGCCACGGCACCTGGCCTGTTTTTTTCTTTTTTGAGACAGAGTCTCACTCTGTCATTCAGGTTGCAGTGCAGTGGCACCATCTTGGTTCACTGTAACCTCCGTCTCCCAGGCTCAAGCAGTTCTCTCACCTCAGCCTCCCAAGTAGCTGGGACCACAGGTGCACACCACCATGCCCAGCTAATTTTTGGTAGAGACAGGATTTTGCCATGTCTGCCAGGCTGGTCTCAAACTCCTAAACTCAAGCAATCTGCCTGCCTCAGCCTCCCAAAGTGCTGGGATTACAGATATGAGCCACCATGACCGGCCACAGTGTATGTATTTTTCAAGAGCTGTCTAATAACTTATTAACTATATATACCTAGCGGAAGAATTGCTAGGTCACAGAATATTTGTAATTTTACTTTGCCAAATATTTCTAGGTGGTTCAGAATGCCTATAGCAGCCTAGATTCTCAGCAGCAGGGGGTTCCTCTTCCTCTGCACAACACTGGCATTACCTAACTTTCTAATTTTTGCCAGTTTGATGGCTGTAAAATAATACCTAGGCCAGGAGTAGTTTGTTTGTTTGATTTTTTTTTTGGTTTGGTTTTGAGACAGAGTTTCACTCTTGTCGCCCAGGCTGGAGTGCAATGGTGCGATCTTGGTTCACTGCAACCTCCACTTCCCAAGTTCAAGTGATTCTCCTGCCTCCAGGAGGCAGGAGATTACAGGTTCATGCCTGTAATCCCAGCACTTTGGGAGGCTGAGGTGGGCTGATCACTTGAACCCAGGAGTTTGAGACCAGCCTGAGCAACATGGCAAAACCCCATCTCTACAAAAAATACAAAAGCTGGACGTGATGGTGCATGCCTGTGGTCCCAACTACTTGGGAGACAGAGGTGGGAGGATTACTTGAGCCCAGGAGCTGGAGGTTAGAGTGAGCCAAGATTGCACCACTGCGCTCCAGCCAGGGTGACAGGGCGAGACCCTGTCTCAAATAATAACAATAACAATAACAATAATAATACCTATTGTTCTGATGGCCAATCTTTGTTGTTTATAATCTCTCTCATGTTTAGAGACTTTTAGAGGAGGCTATAGAGTCTTCTACCGTCTTCTGACCTACTATTTAACCAATTCATGGTGAGGAAACTATTCTAACCTAATCTTTCTTGCTGCTAATGAATCAGCTCTTAATCTGTTTATTTTAATCAAGAATAGCATGGGAGCTGGGCATGGTGGCACTCACATGTAGGATCACTTGAGCCCAATTCGAGATCAGCCTGGGCAGCATAGCAAGACCTTGTCTCAAAAAATAAAAATAAAAAAAGAATAGCATAGGAAGGAACCCTTAGTTTTCCGCAGTCTCATTTTGAACTGTCTTTTCTTCCAGCACTTAACCTCAGTAGAAACCACCCCAGAATCCACCATCCAAGTCTCAATCTCCCCAAAGTCTCCACCAACCCTGGCCGTGACCACCAGCTCTGAGTACAGTGGCCCAGAGATGGATAGGGTGGTATCCTTTAAATGCAAGAAGCAGCAGACCCCTCCACAGTTCATCCAGAAGGAAATGTTAAAACCTCTTCTGCCCACAAAATCCAAGAGCTTCTGGGGGAGTCCGAACACAAACTGGAGTTTGCTAAAGAGTGACATGAAGAAGCCACATTTGCTATCCGAGTTATTGACCAAGCTTCAACTGAGGGGAAAGCTCTCCTTCTTCCCAGCTCACTACAACCCCAAGCTGGGAATGAACAGCCTGTCACGTGAGTACCAGTGTGTTCAGGGATGTGCCAGGAGCTTAAAGGGGAGACGGACCGATAGAACCAGTCCTAATCTGTGGGGAGCTCCCAGTCTTTGGAGGGGGGACAGCCCTTGTCCTCAGGGAAACCCCAGTCTGATGGTGGAGACACAGTCCATACCATTAGGAGGCCTCTAGTCTGATTGGGAAGACAAAGAAGATAAAAACAGAATGCTGTCCAAGTCCCTTCTTCAACATTTCCTAGTTCTCATTCACATGAGGCTCATTCAGCTGAGGCTGCACCAGTTATTGATGTTAAGTGTGAAAAAATGGGGAAGGAAAACTATTTGGAGAAAAGGAGCAATGGCTGATTCTGGCTCAAAGAGCTTCAGCCAGTTATAGGCCATGGAACCCTACTGGGAGGTAGTCTTCACCAGGAATTTGTGCTGAATCCAGCAGCACAAATCACTGATGCTTATGACTTTGCCTTTCCAGAAAACGCCTCCCTGCCTGGGGAGTGCCACTCCTGCAGTGACAGCTCTGGCGAGAAGAGGCAGCTGGATATGCCCGCCCTCCTCTTGCAGGGTCCTCAGAGCTATAATGTTACTCTGAGGGACCTGCTGGTGATTACCACTCCAGCCCGACTGGATCCAAGGCCTTGCAGAAGCCACACAAATGCTATGAGGGAGCCGTGTATGCAGGATCAAGAAGCATACAGCCATTGCCTGATCTCTGGCCAAAAAGGATGTTAGAGGAGCTAGGTAGGCCCACACATATTCCCTTAATGCATTTGGTGCGTTGGCAGATGCTCTGTGTTTTTCTGGAATGTTGGATAGGTAGGAGGATGGATGGATTGATAAAGACATACAGGTAAGTAGACAATGAAGACTTAGTCGAAATGTGACCCTGGCTGGCCGCAATGGCTCATGCCTATAATCCCAATACTTTGGGAGGCCAAGGCAGGAGGATCCCTTGAGCCAATGAGTTTGAGACCAGCCTGACAACATAAGGGAGATCGAATCTCTACAAAAAATTTAAAAATTAGCTGGGTGTGGTGGCACATGCCTGTGGTCCCAGCTACTTGAGAGGCTGAGGCAAGAAGACCCCTTGATGCAAGGGGTTCAAGACCAGCCTGGGCAACATAGCAAGACCCTGTCTCTACAAAAAATTTAAAAATTAGGCTGGGTGCGGTGGCTCACGCCTGTAATCCCAGACTTTGGGAGGCAGAGGTGGGTGGATCATGCGGTCAGGAAATCGAGACCATTCTGGCTAACACAGTGGAACCCTGTCTCTACAAAAATACAAAAAATTAGCTGGGTGTGGTATCACACTCCTGTAGTCCCAGCCACTCAGGAGGCTGAGGCTTGCCTCCTGAGGGAGGGAGAGGGAGGGAGGGGTTAGGAGAGAGAAGTTGCAGTGAGCTGAGATCATGCCACTGCACTCCAGCCTGGGTGACAGACTGACTCTGTCTCAAATAATAGTAATAATAATAATTTAAAAATTAGCTGGGTATGGTGGAGCATGCCTGTGGTCCCAGCTGCTTGGGAAGCCAAGGTAGGAGGATTCATTGAACACAGAGCTCAAGGTTGCAGTGAGCAGGGATTGCACCACTGCACTCCAGCCTGGGTGACAGAGTGAGACTCCATCTCAAAAAGACAAAAACAAAAACACAAACACCCCAAAAAGTAGCCGGGCATGATGGCACGTGCCTGTAGTCCCAGCTACAGTTACAGTGAGCTGAGACTGAGCCACTGTGCTCCAACCTGGGCGACACAGCGAGACTCCATCTCCAAAAGACAAAACAAAACAACAACAACAACAAAAACATATGGGTAATAAGTACTTGTCTTACATGTGGACCCAGGCCTAGGCAGAGGAGCCTGTTACAGACAGCCCTGACCTGTGGGCTTGTTATTGGAGCAAACTCTGATCCTTGAGGAGCTCCAACCCACGACCACTATCTTCAATTCTTGTGCCTCAGCCTCTTGAGTAGCTGGGGCTATAAGCATGTGCCTCCATGCCCAGAAAATTTTTGTATTTCTAGTAGATATGGGGTTTTGCCATGTTGGACAGGTTGGTCTCAAACTCCTGGCCTCAAGCAATTCACCCACCTCGGCCTCCCAAAGTGCTGGGATTACAGATACGAGCCACCGCACCCACCCTGTTTCTACTATTTAAAAAAGAGAGGGGCCGGGCGCGGTGGCTCAAGCCTGTAATCCCAGCATTTTGGGAGGCCGAGACGGGCGGATCACGAGGTCAGGAGATCGAGACCGTCCTGGCTAACCCGGTGAAACCCCGTCTCTACTAAAAAATACAAAAAAAAAACTAGCTGGGCGAGGTGGCGGGCACCTGTAGTCCCAGCTACTCCGGAGGCTGAGGCAGGAGAATGGCATGAACCTAGGAGGCGGAGCTTGCAGTGAGCTGAGATCCGGCCACTGCACTCCAGCCTGGGCGGCAGAGCGAGACTCCGTCTCAAAAATAAAATAAAATAAAATAAAATAAAATAAAATAATAAAAAAAGAGAGGATGATGTACAGATTACCATGAGAACTTGTATTCAATAGGACTGTTAAATGAAATAATAATGATCAGAAGCCACACAAAGAAAGGGAAGAGATCATTATACGAAGAGGGTGTGATAAGGTGCTTCCTGCATTGACCGTTGAATTTGGCTCTGAACCTCTTAGCAGAAAAGGCCAGACATAGCATCCTGTTTTGGTCCTTTTTGTCTGTCCAGTCATACTAGAGAGTCCCTAGTGGCATGGACTATGTCTCTGCCATCAGATGGGGGTCTCCCTGAGGACAGGAACTTTATTCCTCCCCCTCAAGATTGGGGGCTCCTCAAAGATTGGGACTGGTTCTGTTGGTTTCTCTCCCCACGTGCAAGTTTCAGGTACATCCCTGTATGCACTGGCCCTCACCTACTTGGAGTTGTAGTGAGCTGAGAAACAGAGAACCTTGGTGAATGCCTCTGACATCAGATGCTGATTCTTCATGTCACTTTTTAGCAACGTGAGCTGAGATTCCCTAAGGAGCTCTGGTATTTTGTAGGCAGAGATGGTTTCAATATTTTCTCGTAGGTGAGTAGAAATAAGTTGAGTAGCTCTTTAGGGAAGACTTCTTTCCCTGAAACAGCATTTTATCATGTGGAGTCTCATAGGTCTTTACTGCCATAATAAACAATGGCTGAGGGCACTGTCATGTGTTAGTATGAGTCATGGTGCTGGGCATGGTGGCAAGTGCCTGTGGTCCCAGCTACTCGGGAGGCTGAGGCAGGATTGCTTGAGTCCAGGAGTTCCGGGCTGTAATGCGCTATCCTGATTGGGTATCCGCACTAAGTTTGGCATCAGTATGGTGACCTCCCAGGAGCTGGGGACCACCAGGTTGCCTAAGGAAGGGTAAACCAAGACGGAAATGGAGCAGGTCAAAACTTCCATGCTCATCAGTAGCGGGATCACGCCGCTGAATATCCACTGCACTCCGGCCTAGGCAACATAGCGAGACCCCGTCTCTAAAAAAAGAAAAAATCAGGGTGATAGATGATGATAGTTGCCCTTTTTTGCTAGCTGACTATAAAAGCGCCAGCACTCTTCTAGATAAACATTTTATCCAATTGAATTTCAATCACAATTGCACACTTTATTTTTATTTTCTTTGGAGACAGTCTTGTTCTGTTGTGCAGGCTGGAGTGCAGTGATAGGATCATGGATCACCATAATCTCAAACTCCAGGGCTCAAGCCATCCTCCTGCCTCAGCCTCCCATGTAGCTAGGACTACTGGTGCACATCGTGATGTCCAGCTAATTTAAAAATTATTTGTGTAGCACAGGGTCTCCCATGTTGCCTAGACTGGTCTTGAACTCCTGGCCTCAAACAATCCTCTTGCTTCGGCTTCCCAAAACTCTGGGATTACAGGTGTGAGCCATTGCACTTAGCCTTGAACTTTAGAAAGGAAAAAAACCCAAAAAAACAAAAACAAAATCAAAAAACAACTGATACTCAAAGAGCATAAGGCTTAACATTCAGCAAGTCTCCCCGTTTTTAATTGGCACAGCAAGGATTTGAGTCAGATGCTTCTGATTCTCAAGTCCCAAGCTCTTGAAGCCGTATTATCTGTCTGTTAAATTATACTTTTCATATTAAGTCTTTAGTTAGAGCTGACGTGACAATAAGTAGCTCTTCAGTGGAGGCATTTCTGCAGGTAGCAGATATGACAAAGACCAAGCAGAGCCTCCTAGAATAACATATGGGGTCACCAGATCTCAGAGCTGGCCCCCTGCTTTTAGGCCAAATAATGGCTTCTAAAACTTCTCTCCAAACTAGTCAGACCATTAAGGACTTACACATAAAAAAGCAAACTCACAAAAGACTAATTATATATAGCAGAATGTCCATTGGAGTGCATGATATTAATGCATTGATTTACAGATGGAGCAGAATGTGGTGTGAAAAGAGGTCTTCTGCACAAGAAATAATGGTTGAAGGAAAGAAGGAAGAGCAAGCAGAGGCCCCAGTTGAGGATCAGGGGTTTCTTTGGAAAGCGTAATAGTAATAACACCTTCCACACATCAGGTTTACAGATCATATCTCATGGAATCCTCACATTGACAATGTGAGGTTGGCAAGGCAGACGTTATTACCTTATGCCCAGTTTGCAAGTGAAGAAACTCAAGGTTGAGGATGTTAAATGACTTGCTCAACCTCACACAAGTGATGGACGGGACAAACAGCTCTATATTTCTTCCTCTATACCACCTGGCCACGAACTTGGCACCCATCCTGACCCATGTGAGGAATGGAGCCCTGACAAACTCCTCCATTTTTCTGCTTTAGTGGCTAGAATCTCGTTCTTCTTCCTCTGGATCCACTTTCACAGGGGGTTGGTCACTGAGTCCAGGGTGCAGATCTGTATAACAGTTGAATTCTAGGGGATAAACAACCTATTTTGTAGGATTTTCTTTCTTTCTTTTTTTTTTTTTTTTTTTTTTTTTTGAGACGGGGTCTTACTGTGTCATCCAGGCTGGAGTGCAGTGGCACTATCACGGCTCACTTCAGCCTCGACTTCCCAGGCTCAGCTGATTCTCCCACTTCTGCCTCCCGAGTAGCTGGGGTGACAGGTGCTTGCCACCATGCTTGGCTAACTTTTTCTTTTCTTTCTTTCTTTTTTTTTTTTTTGAGATGGAGTCTCCCTCTGTTGCCCAGGCTGGAGTTCAGTGGTGCGATCTCGATCTCAGCTTACTGCAACCTCTGCTTCCCAGGTTCAGCTGATTCTCCTGCTTCTGCTGGCTAACTTTTTCTTTCTGTTTTTGTTGTTGTTGTTGCTGCTGTTGTTTATTTTTTTGTTTTTTGTGTGTTTGTTTTTTGAGACAGACTCTTGCTCTGTCACTCAGGCTGGAATACAGTGGTGTGATCTTGGCTCACTGCAACTTTCACCTCCCAGGTTCAAGTGATTTTCCTGCCTCAGCCGCCTGAGTAGCTGAGACTGCAGGTGTGCCACCATTCCTGGCTAATTTTTGGATGTAGCTTTAGTAGAGATGGAGTTTCTCCATGTTGGCCAGGCTGGTCTCAAATTCTTGACCTCAAGTGATCCACCTGCCTCAGCCTCCCAAAGAATTGGGATTACAGGCATGAGCCACTGTGCCTGGCTTCATTTTGTAAGATTTTAAGGATGACTCATGGCTTGGTAAAGTGGGATGCCTGGCATCTTACTGAATCAATGGTACCTGCAGTGATGGTGATACTATTGCTGATGAGGATGATATTGTGCTGATGGTGATGAGCCCAGCATGAACTGGCCCAAGACACACTTCCCATTGGTGTACTAAAAGCTTTTCATATATTGTCTCAGTCCTCAAGGCATTGTTGTTGTCTTTTTCCAAATGGGGAAACCAAGGCTGAGAGAGGTTAAGTAACTTGTCCAAGGGCATACAGCTTCTTAACCACTATAACATTCTCTCCAGCCAGCCATCTTGGCTGCTCTTAAATGATCCATATCCAATGTTTCAGGCAAGAAGGCTGCAGGAAGATGAATGTTGTGTAGGTAGAATGAGTTTCTGGTGATTACAGGTATGAGTCACCTAAGCATCTCTTGATCCACTAGATATGAATGGTGATGATGAGTTAATTGACTTTAATATTCTGGAGGCAATTTTAAAGGAAAATCTAAAAATATATATATATGTATTTTTTTCCCAGAATCAGACTGGATCTCTGCCACTTTTCTCTTCCTACCGCTCAACTTGCAGGAAACGGTTTGTCTCTTCCGACAGTGTCTCCAATGTTCACAGAATCAACTGAAGTTTTGTTTCCTCATCTAGATATCCTTGTCTTCCATTAGCTCCTATTAGCAGCACTGGGGCCAACAGCCCTGCCTTTGTGCCCTCCCAGTTAGCTTACAGTGCTACAGGACCATGATTTCTGGGGTTGGATTGGTGCTGCCCCAGGACACACCCCAGTTGCCCTACGAGTGGCACTTCTCTGGGTTCCTCACATGGCACCATCATCCAGAATATTCCGCCCAGATAAAGCAACTTGGGGTGTAGTGTTTCAGAGAAGGACTCATGATTTCCAGGAGTCAAAAGCCCTCAGTCCACCAACAGAACTATGCCAGTTGGTCTTCATCTCCAGGATAAAAGATGAAGTCAGGGATGGGCATAGTGCATAACTCTGAGCCCTGAGTGAGATAACTGAGGCAGCTGCAACTTCACAAGGTCAAGGCCCGACCTCCGCCTATCCCCTCCAGCCCAAAGACTTGCCACCTCAGTGCCTGAGCATCTTCTGGCGACCTCCCTCAGCAGCCCAACTTAATCTCACCAGTGAAAACAGAGGTGAGGCGAGAGTACCCAGCCTGAAGATGCTTCTTCTATCAACCTGCAGAAATGTTACACTTTCCCTTCAGGCATCCATTAATAAAAGAAATTGCCATGCTTACTGCCAGGAGGAGGAGCCTGATCTGGAGGGAGAATGGGAAGGGAAGGTTGTGGGGAGACAGTTATCCTGAGTACCCCTCACTAAGAAAGCTCCAGGCCAGGCACAGTGGCTCATGCCTGTAATCCCAGCACTTTGGGAGGTTGAGGCAGGCAGATCACCTGAGGTCAGGAGTTTAAGACCAGCTTGGCAAACATGGCAAAACCCCATCTCTACTAAAAATATAAAAATTAGCCAGGTGTGGTGGCAGGCACCTGTAGTCCTAGCTACTCAGGAAGCTGAGGCAGGAGAATCGCTTGAACCCATAAGGCAGAGGTTGCAGTGAGCCAAGATCGCGCCACTGCACTCCAGCCTGGGCGACAGAGCGAGACTCCGTTTAAAAAAAAAAAAGTTCCGAATACATTGAAAATATGTCAGGAACCTTTGAAGACTTTCTTGGGACAAATGGTCTACAGTAAGCTCTGCCCTCTTTACTAGGAGCCCAGGGCCTGCTGTTGCCCTCTCTGGGGCACTCTGACTCCTCCAACTGTGCCCAACAGGGCCTGGCTAGACCCCAGGCATAACATCTTTCCTTATCTGCCAGCTCACAATCTGCCCTTTCCAGGAATGTGATCCATTTTGCTTCACTCACTCTTCCTGAGTCCATTCCCTGGTGAGACCTTTGGGGTGTGTGGGGCAGAGGTGAAAGAAGTAACTTCGGAAGACAAGCACTTGCTTCACAGTGTTGACCCGGCTTTGCCTTAAGGATTTCCAATAGAATGAATTTCTGGCCTCAAGAATGTCAGGGAAACCTGGGATGCTTGAAACCCACAGTACCCTTCAGGCAAATGACCTTAATTATCCAAGATATTGAATGGAGACGTTAGACTCAAGTCATTTGTGTCCAGCTCTGAAACACACATGTGTACACGTCATCCCCATGTGGGCCTGGTTTTCAAGGATTCCGGGATAGTGTTCTTTTTAGTAAGTAGTCAAGGCCCACCAGGATGGCAAAAAAAGCCAAGGCCTGGTTATCCCAGCAGACAAGTAAAAACTTAATTGCCATCCCAGCCTCCACAAGCCCATTCCTGACGCCATTCAGAAGGCTCAAAACAGACTGATGTGAGGCCACTTTTCCCATTGTTCTCATCAGGTTGTCAGAGATCATAGCCTGGGTCAAGCAAAAGATGTAAGACTTGCTGAAAAGGGGCTTCCTGGAATCTCTACATCTCTCCCCTTTTCTCCCTGGTCACCAGTTCCAGCCAGTCAAGGTTCCTGAGCTGATAAAAAGGAAGTCTCTTAATAAGATGATGCCAGAATTATTTGGCTTTCTATGGGACACTGTGGTGCCAGCACCTTTGCTCCTAGAGACAGGGCATGCAATCTGTGCAGTCGCACAGGGTCCTGCACTTAGAAGAGCCCTGTGTTTGGCTTAATGCCTTATTGCCACCATCTTGAAATTCTGAATCATTTTTGAACACGGAACTCTGCGTTTTCATTTTGCAGTAGGCCTGCCAAATTGTGTAGCCACATCTTGTCTAGAGGCTTTAACAGCTCAGGGTTATCCAATGAGAAGGCGCAATGTCAGGCTGCCTTCCCAGCCCCACTCACCTCCTGCCTGTTCACTCATAGGGCTGTGCAGAGCAACTGTCTACTGAGTGCTTCTGCCAGACAGAAAAATGCTGTGGCAGTTCCTGCTCCCGAAGAGTGTGCAGTGGAGGAAGGTGGGTGCACAGATAACTAGCCTGAGTTAAGTGCCACTAAAAAAGAGTGTCAGTAGATGAGAAGGAAACACCCTCACACCTAGTTGGGAGGACTAAGTCCACTTCATTGGAGGAGGCGATATTTGAGTTGGCAGAAAAAGATAAAGAGGACTTTATTTTATTTTTTGAGATGGAGTCTCACTCTGTCGCCACGCTGGAGTGCCGTGGTGTGATTTCAGCTCACTGCAGCCTCTCCTTCCCGGGTTCAAGTTATTCTCCTGCCTCAGCCTCCCGAGTAACTGGGATTACAGGCGTGCACCACCACACCCGGCTAATTTTTGTATTTTTAGTAGAGACGGGGTTTCACCATGTTGGCCAGGATGGTCTCGATTTCTTGACCTCGTGATCCGCCTGCCTCAACCTCCCAAAGTGCTAGGATTACAGGTGTGAGCCACCGTACCTGGCTGATAAATAGAATTTTAAAAGGTGGAAGTAAGATATGGACTGAGGTATAGAGGCCTGGAAGAAACTAAAAACGTTGCACATGATCAAGAGGTAACGTCTAGGCTGGGCATGGTGGCTCACGCTTGTAATCCCAGCACTTTGGGAGGCCGAGGAGTGTGAATCACCTGAGGTCAGGAGTTTGAGACCAGCTTGGCCAACATGGCAAAACCTTGTCTCTGCTAAAAATACAAAAATTAGCCAAGTGTGGTGGCGGGTGCCTGTAATCCCAGTTACTTGGGAGGCTGAGGCAGGAGAATTGCTTGAACCCAGGAGATGGAGGTTGCAGTGATCTGAGATCACGCCACTGCACTCTAGCCAGGGCAACAAGAGCAAAACTCCGTCTCAAAACAAACAAACAAAAAAAACAAAACAAACAAAAAAGTGAGGTCTAGTCCATTTTGGCTGGATCAGAAAGGAAACTGGGAGATGAAGGTGGAAAGATAGATTAAGAGACCATATTGGAAACCCAGGGACCCTTTGTTTGTATTACCATTATTGCACTCCTCATGATAATGAATTTGTGCAACTGTCTGTCCACTGGAATGTACCATGTCTCTACATCTTTATATTCTCTACTTTTAGTTTAGTACCTAGGACATAATAGGAATTCAGTAAATATTTGCTGAATGAATAAATATTGCAGAGGATCTAAACTGTTATCCTGGGTAGTGTTTACCTTATTCAGCAGGCAGTGAGAAACTGCTGAAGGTTTTTGAGTGGGAGATTTTATTTAGCGTTAGGAAGATGAATCTGGTAGTAAATGGTAGAATGGCTTGGCAAGGGGAGGGACCCAAAGGTGGGAGAGGGCTTGGGAGTCTCATACAGTGGTCCAGGATTCAAGCCCTTGCAGCCTCTATCAGGATGGCTGGCTGGGGGAAAGAAAAGGAGGCAGATATACTTCGATAAGCTGGAAGAAAAAAAAAAGAGGTAAGTGAGAAAAATATCATAGAGCTGGGACTTAGCAGCTGACTGTGTGGCAGAGGATAAAGGAAAAATAAAGAAGGTTTCAGAGGAACTGAGTCCCCTGAAAGAAATTGGGAACATTAGGAGAAGGAGCTTTGGGAGGATAAAGATCAAGGTATCTGCTCCTAAAGCAGTTGGATGAACTCTTGTCCCCAGACAGATTTACGAAAGCAACACTGAAGGAAAAGTTTCCAAGTGCAAAAGTGACGTTCCTGAAGACTAAGTTGTTAAAAATAGCCATCTTGGATGGGGCAGGTTCTCTCATCTCCAGGCTCAGAGATATCTGGGCAGTTGTAAGGACCTGTGGTTCTCCCTAGACTTTATTAGTCACTTCAGAGCAAGGGTGAGGTCAACTTGGATTTAAAAAACTGTGCCTGGCCGAGCGCGGTGGCTCACACCTATAATCCCAGCACTTTGGGAGGCCGAGGGAGGCAGATCACCTGAGGTCGGGAGTTTGAGACCAGCCTGACCAACATGGAGAAACCCCGTCTCTACTAAAAATACAAAATTAGCCGGGCGTGGTGGCAGGCACCTGTAATCCCAGCTATTCAGGAGGCTGATGCAGGAGAATCACTTGAATCTGGGAGGCGGAGGTTGTGGTGAGCCAAGATCATGCCATTGTACTCTAGCCTGGGCAAGAGTGAAACTCTGTCTCTAAATAAATTAATTAATTAAATAAATAAAATTAAAAAAAACGAAAAGGTCTGCCAGGGAGTTCTGATGCTTAGCCAGGTTTGGGAACCACTTGTCTGGCTTACCCCACACTGGATTAGGCTGCCTTAGACAGCATGGGTAACTCTTACTAGCCTTAAAAGGGTGCCTTCAGGCTGGGTGTGTGGCTCACACCTGTAATTCCAGCATTTTGGGAGGCTGAGGTGGGAGGATCACTTGAGCCTAGGAGTTTGAGACCAGCTTAGGCAACACAGCAACCTTGTCTCTACTAAACAACAACAGCAGCAACAAAATTTGCCATGCATGGTTAGGCACACCTGTAGTCCCAGCTACTCAGGAGACTGAGGTGGGAGGATTGCTTGAGCTCACAAGGTCGAAGCTATAGTGAGCTATGATCGTGCCACTATACTCCAGCCTGGGTGACAGAGGGCGACCCTGTTTACAAAAAAAGTGATTTTAGATTCCAGCTTTCCTTCCATCCTGGCAGAGAGTGTAAGCAAGGCAGACTGGCAGCTGTTGCAGGCTCCCTCCCCGCACTCATCCTGGATGATTACATGAACTGAATGAATCATTCACAACCCTTGCCTTTACAGCTGGCATGTCACTTAGCTTAATTAAAGCATGCAGTGGTATTTCAACTCGAGGAATCTAAAAAAGCAATAAAAAGAGTTTTGTAAATTGTTAGGAAGGCAATGAAGACCTTGAAACTGCAATTTACTAAGCATTGCTTTCAATTATTTTGCATTCTCCAGCCATGACTAAGTTATTCACTAGCAGCCTAGAGCCAAGCAGGTAGTGTGTCATATGGAGGGTATTTCATGTCTCCCGAATGCCCACTGTGCTGGGGAGGTGGCTGGAGGCTCTGGGAGTTGCCTTGGGTATGGGAGGGGACGTGATTATTCTGAACACATGCTCTTCCCATCAGGTACATGATAATCATGCTTCCTCCAAGACTCTCCAACCGTGGGCTCTGGCTGGTCTGGGGTGACCTTCAGCAAGGGGCTCCCTTCTCCTTTACTCCCCACTATCTACTATTGTCCCCAGAAAGCAAGAGGAAAGAAGTGTGGAAAGCAAAGCAAGTGCTTTAAAGATCTAGGGTTTGTGCCTGTTTTTTTTCTGGCTGGCTGTCTCATTTCTTTTCCTGGCATACTTCCTGATTCATCTTAGTCCTTGAGTATGTACTTCTTG